TCGGTCTGGCGCAAAAAAAGTCGACTTTTCAAACTCTCTCATAATGTATTTAAATATCAGTTCATAAGAACAAAATAAAAATAGTAATAATCGTATACCTGTTAGAGAAAACAAAATAATATGATGCTATTTTTATATGTTGTTTTTTATAAATATGAATTAGCAAAATTAAAACAAGTATTATTGTTAATCGATAAGTCATTCAACAAAAAAAATAATATAATGTTGTTTTAGTTTGTTTTATATAAATATGAATACATAACAACAAAATAAAAACAAATATTGATTATATGCTTGTCAAAAAAATAAATAATATGATTTTGTCTTAATTTGTTTTTATAAATATGAACCAGTAACAATAAGGCAACTATACGTATTAATCGTATAGTTGTTAAGCAAAAGAAATAAGATAAAGCTGTGTAAATCTAAGTCTTTATCTCGTTATCTGAAGTTATTGGTCAAGAGTTTGAGCCAATTACAACTTGATTATAGATCATGATCAATATCGCCTGAAAAACATATGGGGCGCAGTAGTGATCGTTATGATGGAAAAAAAATTCGTATATATGACGCACTATCAGATTCCGATAAGAATAATTCATTGAAAATGTCCAGAATGCCGGTCAATTCAGAGTTAGAAAAGATTTAGTCAATGGAATACGGGCTCGGGCCCGATAAATTTTAACCAGCGGTGTCCGGGTCCGAGTCCGAAAAAATTCAGTCGAGTCCGGGTCTAGCTAAAACTTAACTAATCAGGTCCGGGTCTGAAAATCTTGGGCCCGACGGGCTCTAATGCGAGAACGACCATTCGTGAAAACTTTAGGAGATTTATTAGTATCTGAAGAGGGTGTTGGTGTGAGTGTGTGGGTGGGTGTGGGTGTGGGTGTGGATGTGGGTGTGGGGTGAGGATGTGGGTGTGGGTGTGCATAGGAGTGTGGGGTGTAGGTGTGGGTTCTGTTGAAGAGAAGATCCATACCCGCACCCACATCCACACTCACCCACACCCACCCGCACCCAAACCCAGACCCTGTAAGTACGTGTTGAAAATAGGATTACGAAACGAAAGATGTTCTTCAGGCGTCAGGTGCCCTTAGAAAATTCCATTTTTTGAGAAAAATAGATGTTGTATTTTGATCACAGAAAAATGCACCAGAGCTTCCTCTTTCAGAATATCTATGGGTTTTTGAAAAACGATCAGATTTTTACAGACATACTACAAAAAAAATTAAAATCTACTACCATATTTTCCAAAAAATTTTTGTGGTTTTTATAGTTTTCAGTCTTGGAAAAACTGTGTTCTCACTGTCATTGGCATTGATAAAACGTTTTTATATTAACCAGCATGACAGATAGCGTTAGCTATTCTTCATCTTTTACGTTCTTTAATATAGTTCGCTGATATATATTAAAAATATCCTATTGTAATGTGATTTTTGCTGAATTTGAATGAAAAAATTCAGTTCGAAAGCTTCTTTAGCGTTTTACGCAAAACACAGTTTCTGCGTAGGAAAATCGAAATAGCTCTATCTCGGCTCGGGATACAATCGATGTTTTTTTTTGTTTTAAAGGTCTCCATCAGAGCTAACTTTTTTTCGAACGGGTTTTTGATACTTGATTTCTGAACTGAGAAAAGTGGAATATACTGTCGATTGAATGACGTTTTTTACGCTTAGTTTAGACATCTGTCCATTAAATTGGTCATAATAAATGAATGCGAAGGAATTTCAAAATTCTATTTGGACAAAAATTGCGCCAGGAGGCAAGCTTTAATTTGAAACTACCCCAGAGGTCTGTAGCCCTAGTTATGACGGAGTTATTTCGATTCCTGTGGAAGGTAGGAAAACAAGCTGAAAGTTCACTCTAACAGAGTATATCAGGCTGAATTTTTTATCACAAGGGCATTTCATAAGGACCATTCATTCCTGGGAATTTCAGCCCAAATAGACCGTTCTAAGTGGAAAATCATCTCCGAGAGGCCCCTTAAATCTCTTCTATGTGTTTTTGCATTGGTTAATATAAAACGTTCTTCCTGATGATGTTCTTAGATTGGACTGAAGGTTTGAATAAAAATCTTCGATCAACGATTGATTGAAAGAGATGCTGTTTGTGGCAACTATTCGCTTTTTTTCTCTCGAGTATAAGGAATTCTCGATTCTAGAGATGACTATGGCAATTCTTCACTTTGATCAATACATTGACCCATACAAAGTGTCTCGAGCATATCAATCCAATGCATCGGATGTTCTAGAATCAGCCATGCCTAATGGACTCTTCGGCGATGGAGATCGTTTCTATTACATTCCTAGCGTCTCGCACTTTCATGCTCATTTTGGCAAAACAAACTATGGCAGAAATGCACTTCCATACGAAGTATTGCGGCAGTACAATGAAATGCTCACCAACACCGGTACAAAGCCAACCAAAAAAGTGGCACAAGAGTACAGCAGTAATGACGATCATTGATGATGGCACTTTGTTGTCTCACACGGTTATGGTGATTGTCCATCAGGATGCATTTAGCGAAAAAACTTTCTATTTGTTTACGATTGTGGCCACAAGAAAGTGTCGTTAGCAGAGAGCGAAAATGAACCGAGCCGAGCCGAACTATAACGGTTCGGTTCGGTTCGACTCGATTCGAACCGAACAGAACTTGAATCAGTTTTCGAAAAAATAATGTCGAACTTAGTCGAACCGGAGCTAATTTTTTGAGATAGTTGAATGCGTCTAATGTTAGATGAAAAATAATTGATTGGACTATTGCCAACCTGAAAAGGTATTATGTCGTTGGCGAAGATAGAATAAACTTTATTGATTGTTTTACATGCATAATTTAATCTCTATATATAGCAATCTTGTTTCTATCTTCATTCTTCGTAAAAGATAGTTAACGAAATAATTGTTATTCTACTTATCTGATCTATGTTCTAAATATGTCTGATTATACATCAGATTATTGTTAACCTATGCTATAGATAGTGAAAGTTTTCTCCCATTATATTTAACTTCTTTTTCTTTGTATTGTTGGTCAATCTAAATAAATTGGCTGGTCAATTTAGTCCAAACACACAGAATTGTTTATAGATTATAGACTAGTCTGGGCTAGGACTGACAATAAATTCTCAAAAGTGGACTAGTCATGATGTACATAGCTGTACTTTGAGACTAGTAGTCTTGACTACCATCCAAGACATTTCAGACTAGTAAGTCACTTGTTTTCAACTGGTTCTAATATCACCTAGCTGAGGGATGAGTATCGTTCTGCTATTCAGACTGTCTAAATTGACGTCCATTTATCGCTATATCATATTCTGCCGGCAGGATACCCTTCAGATATCGAATACTGTCGGATTGAACGTTCGAGTCCGCCTTTGATCTTCTTCTTTTATGATTTTTCTATTCTACTAACTAGTCTGAACTAGATTAACGAAGTCTAGACATGAATCCAACACATTTCTTCTAAAGATAACTCGTTATGACAGATATTGTGGACATTTTAGATTAATCATGTCGGCCGTCTTCTATTATTATTTTTTTCTCTCTGAAAATGTCACCTTTTTTTTTTATTTCGTTCTGTTTATATGAAGAAGTAAGTCACTTCTTCTCTCTAGATAACAAGTTTTTGTTTTATATTCCTTATACCACATACATGACTACTGATATTGTTTTGTCAGAAATATTAGGCGTCATTCTTATTTTCAATGTAATTATTGCGGATGATCCATGTAAATATGAAATACCCAATAAAGGTCTAATTGATCTTTCATCTATTGGCAAGATGGATGGAACACCGGTTTGGAAAGATATTCCACCAGATAAAACCGAAAATTATGGCAAGTTATACTATATGAATTTTATTTGATTTCATTGTTGTTTCTATTTTTTTTCTAGTCTATTCGTACAATCCCTGCTATCCGTTCAATGAAAAACTCTGTACAAATGTAGCTGGATGTCAGAGTAAGATAAATCAACATATTACAAATTCATACATTTAATCTAATAATTAATCATCTAATTAGTTGGAAAGGATGGCAGAGTATCCTATTCGATTGGTACACAGGCAAGTATAATTTGGAAAAATACTCTTGATGACACGCCTAGTCTAGTCTATACATCGGCTGATCGCACCAAACAATTATTCGTTGATATACAGTGTATTCAATCGGATGAGCACAAACTTGAAGTACATGGTGAAACTAAAATGAATGAATATCATATGACATTATCTACTAAATGTGCATGTTGGAATGGTTGTAAAGGTAAATGATTTTTTCAACGTTAAATTTCTAACAAAGTCTATTGTTTTTCGATTAGATAGTCCAAAACCAACAAAACCAAACAGTCTCACTACTGGAACTATTCTGATTATCATACTTGTAGCTGTTGTGTTTCTCTATTTGATCACGTTTATATCGTATAATCGTTTCCGTCTTCAACGATCCGGTATTGATCTTATTCCTCATCGCAAATTTTGGATTGTCCTGCCTGGTTATGCTAAAGATGGTATCATTTTTGTCTATCATCGTGCTATATGTTCTAGTCGAGGTGTGTACCAATCAGTTTGAAGAGAACAAGAGACGGATATTCTGCTTTATTGAACTGAACACAATTTTATCACCGTTTGAGAATGATGATTGTGTATTTTTCGCTTTCCACATTTGACTCATTACAATGATGTGGCTAAAGTGAACATCTTTGTATTAGTATTTTTTTGCGATTACACAAAGCGAGTATCGTCGCATCCCTCAGTTTATGCTTGAAAAATGCGTACTAGACTAAAGAAAAACTTCCTTCTCGTACGACACTTCTTTTACTGTGTAAATCGGTAGAATAATATTTTTCTTTCATATTTTTTTGTAAAACCGATTATACCATTCAATAGTCATCCGTGCAGTTCTCCATCAAAGATTACTGTATGTTCAGAAAAGTAGGTCTACACTCGAGAGTGTGGGTGCGGGTGTGCGTTTGCGTGTGATGTGAGTGTCGGTGTGTGTGGGGTGTGGGTGGGTGGGTGCGTGTCTTCTGAAAGACATACCCACATCCACACCGACACACCTACACCCACACCCACAACCTATCTATTCTATAATAGAAGCAGAGATCTGAAAATTGTGGATAATATTTATCTATGTGCAACAAGAGAAAAAAAGAATTTTTTTTGAAATTTACCAAAACTTTTGGCTCATTCTTTAGTATAGAAATAGAGCATTATATAAAAACTTTTGTCGTACATATCTGACTGAGTTTTTTATGAACAAAATCAATTAAATAAATTTAACCAATTTTAATCAATTAGCCATCCTTGGCAGATAAAACTACATAGTATATAAATATAGTGCTACATATAAACTTTTGTTTTTCTAGTACTACGTTCACTCTTTGAGTAAAATATAAATCTGATTTAGTAATGACTAATCGATTATAACCGCCAAAACAATGATTATTTGTAGGGGTGATTATGAAATTACAATTAATTTTAATCAGTTTTTTTGAAAGAAAAACAATTTTTTAGCGAATTCACACAAAGTTGTCTTTCATGAAAAAATAATCATCATGTTTTCCTGGATATTTTTCACTGAGGAATTAAGATTTATAGGCTTGACATTAAGATCAGTAAAAAATTTTAACTGATATTAGAATCAATAAAAAAAATTGTAGCCAAGACCAGGACTATTACACCGTCAAGAAATCAGCTCTAAATACTGAGTCTGTCAAGAGTTAGCTTAAGATTAAGAATCAAAAAATGGGTGCCCGCGTTTCTCAAATTTTTCTGCCATTTCAAATGCTAGAAACCTTGGACTGCTTTTAAAATATAGTCAAGCTCTGACGCTACAACTTAACAGGGTCCGATATTTTTTTGTTTTGAAGTTAATTTTGTTTTAAATTTATCTTATAAAAAAGGTCAAGAGTAGTGTTTGTATTCAAAAAACAGGCGAGCGTCATTAGATATTAAACAGAAAATCCAAAAATCCGGCTCACTTAAATTGTAGAGCTGACCATCCTCTTCATTTTGTGACCAACTTCAGCTCTCTAGCTTTTGAAATGGTGGAGAAATTTGGGAAATACGGAAACATTAGAATAAAAAACCTTATTATGAGAAAAACGCAAAAGAAGTTTTGAACGTCTAATTGGAAGACTTTTTCCACAACAAAATAGTATAGAAACAATTTTCGAGTAGTTCATCATAGATTATTGATTAGAGCGGATTGAGTGGACGCATATAAAGTCACATGGTGAAGATTTTTATTTATTTCATACGGTTATGTCGTATCCATCGTTAAAAATACATGCGTAAATAGTGATAAATAGCTTATTTTATTTAGGATAGTCCAAAAATAGTGAGAACAGTACTGTAATTCCTTATAAAAAGCTTTAAGAAACTT